ACTCTCACTATGCTTTCTCACCTGAGTCTTCAAGGCCTCCAAGTCACTTGTCTTCATGCCATTTATAGACTTTGAGGCTGTACACTATAGAATATTGACTAACTAGGTTCTTGAATTGGGGCTATATCACTATTTAAATATGATTTAATTTTCAAAAAGGAGATAGAGTTACATAATACAAACAACTAGGCATTTAGGAGTGAAAAGTTTCCTTTTCACCTGTTCTCCCAACTACTGAATTACCATTCTTCTAGGGACTGTGTTTTCTCCTGAGACAGGTTCTTACACTGTAGCCCAGGCTGGTCTCTAGATTGTGACAATCCTGCCTCAGCTTCCCAAGTGCTGGGATTACAGCGAACACCAATGCCCAACTTTTCCAGAATTTTAAAATACATTTCAAAGCTGGTGTAGATATGAATTCAGTTTTCTTTTGTCATACCAGTGGGTGTGTTTACATACCATTCTGTCCTTTTCACCTAATAGTAGATATTGGAATCAGTTCTGTACCAGTGGGAAAAGCCTTAGACATGTTCCACTTAATAATGTGTGTTAGAAATCTCTTCCATATCTCTGTGTTGAGTACATTATTATTTATTTAGCCAGTTCCATACTGATGGACATCTTGGAACATTTCAGTCTGCTGTTAAAAGTAATATTACATTAAACTCTTATGCTGTAAAGATGACTTCATACTTGTGTAAGTATATTTGTAGTATATTTGTAGGGTAAATTCCTAGAAGTGGGATTCCTGGGCCAAATAGAAAATATAACAGTTTGATAAATAATGCTAAATTGCCCTCCATAGAGGTTGTAAAGTTTATACCTCACCAGAAATATAGGCAAATGCATAATTACTCATAGTCTTGCTAAGAAAGTACATTATTTAACCTTTGGATTTTTTTCAGGCTGGTAAGTGAAAACTGTTAGTGTGGTTTTAATTTCTGTTTCTCTTATGAGTAAGTGTGAATATCTTTTCATATATTTAAGCGCCATTTCTCTTTCCTCTTTCATGAAATCTCTCCTTTGCATGTTTTAGAGGTGCAGGGGCTTAGACATCACTACAGTTGCTGTTTTAACATGGAGCTTTGCCCTGAGGAATATGAGTTGCACGGTTTTCCTCTAGTTTTTCCTTTGTCTTTCAACATTACTTATGCTCTTACTGTTATGTACTTTTAAAACATACATAGTTGGATTTGTCAGTCTTTTATGGTGTCTGGCTTTCATCAGTTAGAAAAACCTACTCTACTCCAAGTTTATGAGGGGATTCTTTCATCTTGGCTTTTATATATTTGTCATTTATATTTTAGATTTAAATATTTGATCCATTTGTCTTCGTGTATAGTGTGGAATAGATCCAACTTAGTGTTTTTTTCCAAGTGGCTATTCAGTTGCTTCAGCACCGTTTGTCAATAGTCTGCCTCTATACTGTTTGTTGCTTATTGAAACAAGACTGATTCATCCACTTGTTTTTTTTCACAGCTTCTTTGCTGTGACTAAATATGAATACAGTCCCGCTTTTCCTCCCATAGAACACCTTCTGCAGATGTCTTTCACCATGTTTCCTCTGTCTTCCTCTGCAGCTCCAGCATCCTGGCAGTCAGTTGATGAATGGATACAGGCTTCCCAGAAAGCTTTCCAGTTTTCATGGAGCAGTAATTGGTTAGAAAGGAATCTCTAAGTATAAGGTTATTTTTTTCCCTTGCTATGTAGACCAGGCTGGCCTCTTATCTCACAGAGATCCACTTGGCTGTGCCTCCTGAGCATTGAGATTCAAGGTGTGGGTCACCACTCCTGATATAGTAAGTATAAGATGTTCAAACCAGAGGTGCCCCCTGGCTCTCTGATTACTGCTAACCAGTACTCTAGAAGCTGCATTGTGCTCCCTGCATCCTTCTTTCCTGAGGCTGCCCAGGGTGGAATGTTTCTCTTTGTGCTCATTTTCCTCATCAGCCATGGGATATCACCTCCTGTGGTTTTCAGTGGAACCAAAATGAGCCATAATGCAGCCCTGTCAAGCTTGTTCTGTAGTGGCCAGCTCTAGAACTGTTTCTTCTCACTGATCTGGGAATATGATTGCAAATGGATGGAATGAAGTCTCTCACTTGAATCAGAAGCAGATTAAGTTTTGTCACCTATAGAACTGTAGCCCAGGTTTGTCGTACAAGGAGAGAGTGCCAGGCCAGTAGCTAGAACTGAATTTACTCCATTCCTGACTTGTTTCAGTGCTCTTGGATAAAAGACTCTCTTCTACTTTGAACCACTGCCGCAGGCATCTTTCCCTTCCAAACCCGCCCAGGCCACCTTGCCTGTTCTTTATTTTTGAACCTTACTTTTTGATCCCGTTTGTTATCTCAGCCTTCAGAGTTCCCTCTGATGCTGGTGGTATATTCTGCCCAGTACCAGTCTGACTTAGAAGTTATTTTTGTTAAATTTTGGTCAAATACACTTTAGTTGAAAGCAAACTGACGAACTGGAAAACTTGGTTAAAACAATGATTTGATAAAAAACGTGTATCTTAAGTTATTAGGTTTTGAGAAGTATTAGTGCATTATGGGAGTGATCAAAGACTTTTGACTCATTTCCTAGGCATTTTTCTAATTTTTATTTTAACTTTTAGCTATAACAGAATGTTGTTGCTTGTGGTATCAAAAAGTTAAAGGTGCTCAGCAGTTGGACAAGAGTGATCTTAACTAAAAGGCAGGAGAGGCTAGTTAGAATGATCAAAGCATCTAACGGTAAGATAAAAACATGTTTGCTGAGTTCTTTTCTTTTTCCTTCATTAAAAAGGTCATGCTTGTACAGTACAGGACACTCAGAAAATACAGATAAGGAACAGGACACAAGAAAACTACAAATCAGCTCACCAAGAATAATGATGATTATTCTTCTCTGTCATTAAATGCATTTTATACATCATCTCTGCATTTCAGCATTCTCCAAATATTATGTAGTCACCTTTTCCCAAGATTAAGTTTGGTTCCTTTTGCCTTTGGTTCCCACTTTTAGTTAGGTTTTAGTAGTTTGCTGTTCTCTTCCCTTCTGTCCTTCAATTTTGCTTTAGCAGGCATCCAACCTGGACCCTCAAGATAGACCTGCTTGCTGGAAGTGGAACCATTTGCAAATAAAGCCATTCTGCCAAGCCTTTCCATAGAGCTTCCAAAGGGGGCCAGTTTGAGAATTCCTGTGGAACTCTCATTATGTATAAAATATTTTTGAAGTTCCTTCTTGATGTATGTTATGTGTCCATAATTTAAATGAGAGAGTAAACACAAGGGAAGGGGGTCTGCATTCCAGTGAATGAGGCTTGCTACAGAGAAGTCCATGTATAATGGAGGGAAGTTACTACTCTTAGAGAAAGAGTCTTGCTGTGCAGTCTAGGCTGGTCTTCAACTTGAGACATCCTGTGTCAGTCTTTCAAATGCAGATGATAGGTCTGTACCACTGCACCTATTGTGAAAGAAAAGCAGAGATTTTTTTTTCTGAAACAAGGTTGTCAAATTTATGTTATGTGTTGTGCCTAAGCTTCAGTATGTAGTATGTATAGTTATCAGTAATGCTTGTTTCTTATAGGATTCAAACTCCTCTTTGAATCATTCTCAAAATGGGGCTCTAGTAGCTTTGGAGTTGCTGTGGGAGACAAACCTATTTGCCGTTCTTGGGTCTATTATATTGTTTCTTAAAAGCAGATTGATCAAGAAAGTCACAGTAAAATGTCTTAGATATGATAAACGTTTATGATGGTAAATATGGGATGTGAGCAAATTAGTAATCTGAGTTTCAGGCAAAGCAAAGGCCTCCTCATTAAGATAATAGAAGTAGAGTAATAAAATTATGGACTTGTTAGGGAGTAAAGACGATGTCACAGGAATACTCATCACTGTAAGTTACCCACCGTATGTATGATTGACACCCAACATTCACTCTGTTCCAGATGATTAGTCTAAACTAGCATAGGTAAGCCTATTTCCTTTGCCAGTGAAGGGTCAGGTATGACCTGAAAATTATTCTGGATAATAAAATGTGAAAGAAAGTGAGTGGGGATGTTGGTGAATGTGGGTCTCTCCCTCCCCTCAAGGGCCGTTGGCCACCCATCCATGAGGACAGAGGGAGCAGAAGCAACGAATGGGTTCAGGACGGCCAGTGAGCACTACAGAAAAGAATTTTCCAGGAAGTCAGATTCAGTGATACAGCTCCATTTATTCAGTGGGGGTCAGGGAAAATATAGTGTGGAGGCAGCAGCCAAAGCTTCAGCTGATAGGTGCTCATAGTACACTTTATTTACATGTGGTAGGGGGAACCTATCATCTGACTATATGGCAATGCCTAATTATCATGTAGAAAAAAACTGGGGACAGTTTTATTGCAGGTAACTATGCCAAAGGTCATGTTCCAAATAAGGTCAGGCGTCTGTGCTTGGTGGCACTTTCCAGGTAAGTCAGAGAGCAGGAGGTCCCCGCTGAGAAAAGGAATCCTTCCATATAGCGCCGAGCCCCTTAGAGCTATCCGGACATGGAGGACTACAGCCTTAGCATCAGGGTCCCCCAATGGGTGAAGACTTTTAGGAAAGGTTCCTTGACCTTAAAAGAGGGAGAAGACAGAGGCAGTATCTTCTCTTAATTCTGATTTCTCTGAGTATGGTGACTCAAACTATTCTAGCCATCTTGGGTCACTAAGAAGCTGCTTTGAGATAGAATTAGTCTGAAAGATGTCTGAACAGAGAGAAGGCAGAAACCTGAGGTTGACCTTGTGGAACTGCTGATTGCATTGTGCCTCTGAACTTCCAGTTCTGTAAGATAACACAGTTCCTTGTTGTGTAAGCCAGCATGATCAGGGACCTTGCAGCTTGTAGCCAAAGCATCCTGAGTTTCAAGCAGATCCAGGTCATGTGCTTTTGATTTTATTGTGATAGGTTTCTTATCAGAGTTCTTCCCTCTGTCTTCTGACTTCATAACTTGGATGCAGATTCTAACTGGCCATTTCTTGCCATTGTCTTTTCTCAGGGATCATGTTGCAGAACAAATTCTTCACAGAAACCGGCAGGAAACCAATCAATAACCATCTCCATGGCAGCCTTTGGGGTTGAGTATCTTGTGCTTTGACCTTGGGTCTTAGGGCTTGGATACTTGATGACTTATGCCTGGCTTCAAGATTGTTTGATAGCTTTGTTTCCTTCTCTTCCTTCACCCCCTTTTTCTCATCCATTCCTTCCTCACTTAGGGGCTGGGTGATAAATGTAGTATACAATGTTTCCTAGGAATGTAAGGAAGGATTCTAATAAACACTGTCAGCTATTTGTTGTAGATCAGTGTGGTAACTGCAAGGAAAAGCGGCTTGCCATTTGGTCAGTTTCTCACCTAGCCACGTTCACTCAAAGCACAGAGTAAGTGGACCCAGACATGGGCTGGGGGTCTTCACTGTGGCTTACCATTTGCTACCTGAAATCTTAGGGACAAATCCCATAAGGCATTGTGTTTCTTTTTTTTAAATTTTATATTATGTGTATGAGTGCATTGCCTGCATGTAGGTAGGTGCACCTGTGTCGTGCAGTGCCTACGGAGGTCAGAACAGGGTGTTGGATCCCCTGGAACTGGAGTCACAGATGGTTGTTAGCTACCATATGGGTGCTGGGAATTGAACCCAGGTACTCTGCAAGAGAAACCAGTGCTCTTAACTGCTGAGCTATCTCTCCAGGCCTGGCATTGTGTTTCTTTAAAATGTGTTACTAATATCTGTCTAATTTTTTTTAAGTTATTGTTACTTAAATGAAATACTATTATGAGCCTAGTAAATGAAAGAAAAAAAAAACTTAAAAGAAAAAGCTAGTAAAGCTCGTTAGGTTTTATGATTATTTTCCAGTGAACTAATGTTAGGGTCTTTAGAATGAACTCTGTGTAGCTTGTTAGTCTGTTTGAAGAGAGGAGGTGGGGCATGATGTGGGACAATAATAAAAGTAGTAATTAAGAATTGTATTTATTGATCACCTACATCCTGAAGAAGAAGAGGAGAAGGAGGGAGGAGGAGGGGGAGCAGGGGGAAGAAGAAGAGGGGGAGGAGGAAGAGGAGCAGGAGGAGGAGGAGCAAGAGGAGCAGGAGGAGGAGGAAAAAGAGGAAGAAGAGGAGGAGGAGAGAGAAGGAAGAACAGGAGGAGGAGGAAGAGGAGGAGGAGGAAGAGGAGGAGGAGGAACAGGTGGCTCAGGGGGAGAAACAGGTGTGGGGCCAGCAATGGGAGTAGAGGAGTGTAGTAGTAAGAAGAGGAGGAGGAGGAAGAGGAGGAGGAGGAGGAGGAGAAGGAGGAGGAGGAGGAAGAGGAGGGCCATACAGTATCACAAGGGAAATAAAGGTCAGGGTGTCAGTATTGAGATTTATTTCTTGTTGGACCAGAAATTCTGGTCAGCTAAATTAGGAGAAAGTGAAATACCCCCTCTAGTGGTGAGGGGCAAGATTCGACACTTGGCTGTGGTGAGTGCCCAGTGGACAATTTCTAAGATGTCTGTTTCTGAAGAGAAATTCTGAAGATCTGGGGTTAAGATCTTAAGCTCAGGATTTCGTTATTAGGAGAGCTAACCCATTTCTTAGAATAAAGGCTCATTAAACAAATGTAGAGGCTACAGTTGTCAGAAGAGGCTCAGGGTTTACTTTTCTGAAGGCTGTGTAGTGATCATGAGATTGGAAGACTGATATTGCTAAGCTTATTAGATTGAAGTGATTCAGTGGGTACCTTTATAATTCCATTTATAGGGAGAGCAGTGCTATTAGCAGCTGTGGGGAGGGTCGGCATGATGTCTCAGTGGGTGAAGACACTTGTTGCCAAGCCTGATGACCCAAGTTCAATCCCTGGAATCCACGTGGTGGAAGGAGAGAACCAACTCCTGCAAGTTGTTCATTGATCTCCACAGCTGTGCCATAGCACACACATGCACACACACACATACATATACACAGACAAATAAGTGTAAAAAAGTTAAAATGTTTTTAAAAGTTGAGGGGAGTGCCGTATAGTAGTATTCATCTATATTCATGCAAAATAGTGGCTATAGATTTCCTAAGTATGAACTTTGATTAGAAATTTTTAGGGGTGATTCTGAAAAACAGATGCTCAATTTTCATCTTAGAAGTTATTTAATTACTATCTATGGAAAGGCCATGAAATTAAGTACACTAAAATAGCAAGTTTCCCAAGATTCAGTGGTTCAGGAGGAGGACCTAATGGATTCTTGAAAGACATCTCATTTTGTGGCTGTAGGTTGTTGATAATAGTGATAGTAACTGATAAGTCTTAAAATCCCAATTATGTTTTTCAAAAAAAAAAAATCAATTTTCTTGGGGGCTGGAGAGATGGCTCACTCCAGGACACTGACTGTTCTTGCAGAAGACCCGGGTTTGATACCCAGCATCCACATGGCAGCTAACAACTGTCTGTAAATCTAGTTCCAGGGGATCAGACAACCTCTTCTGTCCTCTGTGGTCATTGCACAACACAGGTGCACTTACCTACATGCAGGCACTACACCCAAACACATAAAATAATAAATAAAATATATTTTAAAAAATCAGTTTTCTTTTTAAAATTACACTATTTATTCATTCATTTCCTGTTTATTTATTTATTTATTTATTTATTTATTTATTTATTTATTGAGTGTATGTGTATCTGTGTGGGTCTGTGCATGTCACAGCTTTCCTGTGAAGGTCAGAAGACAACTCATGGAAATTGATTTTCTACTTCTACCATGTGGATTCTGGGATCAAACTCAGGTTGTCAGGCTTGATAGCAAGCACCTTTACTCAGTAGGCCATCTTGCTGGCCCCAGTTATGTCTTTGTTTTAATTTCTGTTTGGGAAGAATTATTTTAGTTTTACTTAAAGATTTCCAAAGAGGCAAAATTTCAGAGAATATGATTTTTCAGATATTCTGTAATATATTTAGAAAATATTTTAATGAATTTGTCTCCAAAACAAAAAAGAGTGGCCAAGGTATAAGAAAGTAAACTCTGACACAAGATTGCGTTTATCAGCATATCATTTATTTACTTTTTTTGTTTGTTTGGTTTATTTTGAGACAGGGTATCCTGTAGCTCCAGCTGGCCTGGAACTCACTTTGTAGACCAGGCTGGCCTCAATCTACAGAGATCTGCCTGCCTCTGCCTCCTGAGTGATGGAATTAAAGGTGTGTGCTACCATGCCCAGCGCCTTTCTATAATGTTTTAAATGCTTGGTGCTGTTTATTATGGTATAGTAATGGAATAATTCCCTAGGAAATAAAAGTGTGCACTTTATGTGTGCACAGACAGAATGAGAGTGTGTGGTTCTGAAACTAATTTTTTGGTGCTCACATAGTTTATGTTTATACTTTATAAATATACTTAATTTCAGGAAAGAAGAACTAGGTCTGGAAGAAGATCAGAATCCACCCAATGGGGAAAACCAGAAATAGGAGGAAGAGGTTATTAATGGCTCATTTTTAGCTAAGAGAAATTCAGTATGGAATAATTTAGGTCAGGTAGAGAATTACGATTATGTTAAGTGAGTTCACAGATATTGTTGAAAGCATATTAGTTCAGAATAATTTATTAATATGCATGGGAGTGATAAGCCAGTTAGATGATGACTCTGCTGAATTAGTGTGACAGCAGTTAAGACTGGCAGAGTGAAACTTGGAGAAGGTGAGTGGTAGCTGACCCTCACTAAGTCCTAGTACTAAAGAAAGACTATGTACTTCAGTGGCAGCTGAATTCTGTAAGTAAAAGTGGACACTAAGAATCCATATGATGGTGACATTTCTGAAATTAGGCAAGTATTGATTTGTGCAAAAGGTGCCTGAAAACAGCTTGAGTAGAGGGCCCAGTCTCATTTAAAATTCCAGGTAAAGGGCTAGAGAGATGGCTCAGTGGTTAAGAGCATTGGCTGCTCTTCCACAGGACCTGGGTTTGATTCCTAGCACCCATAGGCTAACAACCATCCTAACTCCAGTTCCAGGGGAATCCAACACCCTTTTCTGACCTCCCTGGCATTGCATGACACAGGTGCACTTACATACATGCAGGCAATACATTCATACATTTAAAATAAAAATAATAAAATTCTAGGTAAAGTATAGATAATAGTTTATATTTGAATAAGTTTTTATAATATTCTGAGTGTTTTCATTTATGTGTTCTCATAAATTCTTAAGAACTCTGAGAGGCAGTGGTGAGCATTTGGAGACTCAGAAAGGTTAACAGAACTAGTAAACTAGAGCAAATGGGGATGGAATGACAGGAGGGAACAGGAATCCCTACCAAAATACCATTGCCACTGTACTAGTTTCCTGTGGTTGCTGTATCAAAGTGCTGTAAACTAAGTGACTCAGTACAACAGGAATTTATTCCCACAGCCCTGGAAGCCAGAACTCTATAGGCCAGGCTCTGGGAAGCCTTCCAGCTTTGGCTGCTGTTGACATCCCTTGGCTTGTGACAGCCTTACTCCAGTCTCTGCCTCTCTGGTCATGTAACTGCTTTCTTTTCTGCTGGGTGAGGAAGAGTTGATCTTTAAGGAAGAGGCTATAGATAGGCTGACTAGACCCCAGTGGATGAACTTGCACTGAGGGAAGTCTGGGTACACTAATTTGACCTGATAGGCCTTAACAGAAATGACAGAATACATGGAAGGTGCAGATAAAGGTGATTAAGATGCTGTGTATGAAATACACAAAAATTCAAGAAAAAGGAAAAAAAGTGAAAAGTGTGTTATTTTCTCTAAAAGGCAGTCACCGAGAAAGCCTCAGCAGAGAAAATGGGAGTAATTCAAAAGTCCTTGCATATATGTGCTAGCGTTTGCATTTGTGAAATTATAAATTAAGTGACTAAAGTAAGTTAAAGTATTATCCAATTTTACATGATTGGTGTATTAGTTACTTTTCTGTTTCTGTGATAAGACACCATGACCAAGGCAACTTAGAGAAGGAAGGGTTCCAGAGGGATCAGAGGTGAGGAGGCACAGTGGCCAGAGCAGAAAGAGGAGCGTTCATATCTTCAAGCAGGCACAGAAAGTAGAGGGACTGGAAATGTGGCAAGGCCTAAGAACCCTCAAAGCCTGCCCC